CCCAGGCATGTAATAAATATTATTTCAGATTTTAAAACTTTAAAGTTATAATATTTGCACTGTATTTATGTATTTTCAGTCTTATTTTGTAAAGGGAATTAGATAGGTGGATGTGTGGTTGAGACAGGTTATAGGGATATTTATTAATTTTGAGACTGTGATTGTTTGTGTGTTGTGTTCATAATTCGGACTACGGTCTTGGGGCGTAACAGAATCTATACAAATAATAATGCAAATTCTACATGGATTTCCAAAAAGTTGGGGCATAGATTCAAAGATATTCCTGAAATGTCACTGAAGGCATTAAAAGGAGCTTTGAAAGATAATTATGGGGTTATGCCTAAGAATAAAATGCAACTATACAAAGCCAAGAGAAGGTCACTTAAGAAGATTAATGGTAATTATGCTGATTCATACACAAAGCTGTACATGTATGCAAATGAAATTAGGAAGTCAAATCCTGGAAGTTTAGTGACAGTTCTACGTAACAATCCAGAAGTTGATGAACCGTTTAGGTTTAAAAGAATTTTTATTTCATTTGATGCTATGAAATTTGGGTTCCTCGAAGGCTGCAGGCCTTTCATTGCTCTAGATGGGTGCCACTTGAAGAGCCCATTTGGTGGTGTTTTATTATCTGCAATTGCTCTTGATGGGAATAATGGCTTATTCCCAATTGCATATGCTATGGTAGAAAATGAAACAAAGTTCAGCCGGAAATTTTTTCTACTACAGCTCTATAGCATTATTGGACAGAAAAATGAAGATTGTCCTTGGACTTTCATGTCTGATATGTAAAAGGAAAATATTAATTAGCTTATACATTAATCCTACACATTAATTTACTTAACTTTACAAATAATGCTATACATTAATTATTTTACTTTATTTCTGTATTGTAGGCCTGATATCTGCTATCTCTAATATTTTTCCTGGTTCAAGACATAGATTTTGTTGTAGACACTTGTTTAGCAATTTAAAGAAAAAATATCCTTTCATGTTAGTGAGAAAGTATTTCTGGAAAGCAGCCAGAGCCTACAATTAAGTAGATTTTAATGAAGCCTTGACACATTTGAGGGGACTATCAGAGGATGCATATAATTGGTTGGTTAATGATAATCCCATTCACACATGGGCAAGGCATACATGTGATGTGAGAGTGAAGTCTGACCATATAACTAGTAACATGGTAGAGTCCTTCAACAACTGGGTTGGTGATGATCTTAGGTCTAACCCTATTTTAACCCTGCTTGATGGTGCAAGGACTAAACTGATGGAGATGATTCATAAAAGATATGAGAAGGGATGTTCATGGGAGGGTAATGTGACTACTCCTAACATTAGAAAGAAATTGAACAAGTTGATAGAAGAAGCAATGACTTGTTTAGTGACACCTGCCGGGAGTGAAGAGTATTCGGTTGTGGATGATAGGATCATTTACGTTATAAACCTTAATAAAAAGATATGTGTATACAGGGCTTGGGAGATTTCAGGAATTCCATGTAAGCATGCAACCTCCGCCATTGGTTACTAAAGGTACAACATTGAAGATTTTACTGATCCATGTTATAGCAATGATGAGTACCTAAAAACTCATGGGGGAATGATCCACCCTATAGTGGATCAGAAAATGTGGACTCCAATTGATGGTGCTACACTAGAAGCACCCTATCCAATAAGACTGCCTGGTAGACCTAAAAAAAATGGGAAAAGGGAACATGATGAACCTGCCCCAGGGACTAGTCAAACAAGGAGGTCCTGAACAATTACATGCTACAATTGCAATGATACTGGCCACAATAGAAGAACATGTAAAGGAGCTTCTGTCAAAAAGAAAAAGAAGAACACACAGGTAATTTTAATGGCAATTAATTTCATGCTACATGCTTCGAACTTCTTTATTATGACTTGTAATTTTTTATACTAAGTATAGTAACAAGGTGGTTAAAGAATAGGTATGTAAGATTGAACATAATTATAACTGTGTTTTTTGTTTACATATAGGAACAAGTTAGGGGAAGAGGCACCCAACATTTAACACTTGTTTCTGGTAGCCAAGATTTTGCTCATATCACACAAGTAAGAAAATTTTCATTTGTAAATGAGTATGTCTATAACTTTTATTGTAATTTGTTTTAAAGAAATTTTTCCTCCTAATTCACAAACAAACGTGAGCAATGCAGGCCCATTGCTTAGAAGGATGGGGAGATGTCAATCGAGCAACACTCACCAACAGCTAAAGAGAGGTCAAACAAGTTGAAGTGAAGCTGCAGGAAAGGGCATATTTTCTGGAGTCTTTCTTGTTAGAAGAGGTCAATCAACCAACACACAACAGCTAGAAAAAGGTTAAACAAGTGGAAGTGGAGTTACAGGAAATGGTACATTTTCTAAAGTCTTTCTTGAAGGAAAAGGCAGAGGAAGGGGAGTCCCAATTTGGAAGATCTTAATGTTATTTAGAGCATACAATGACTCTTTTTTAATAGCATGCAGTGAACTTTTTTTTGTGATGTTTTTTTGCTTGCATGTAATTTTGTTGTTGGGGATATTGTTCATTGATAGCATGTAGTGAATTTTTGTTTACATGTAGTACACTTTTTTGAAGCAACATTTTGTTATTCACTGATAGGGGACAAGTAATTATATATCTGGGATAGGTGGATATTTTTTGGGTTTGTCACTGGTGTATTTATGTGTTTTTAATGGTGGTCAGGAAATGACTTTGTTTATGAATTGGAATTTTATTTGTCAATTGTTCTCTTTGTATCATGTGGACTACTACTCTTTTGAATGTCTCAGTTACGAATCAATACAAATAATCAACAATTTTAAGGTGCTGAAATTCTAACAATTACCGTATTGCTCATCCAACAACGGGTGATCTTATTAGCTTTGCCATTACTGTTCTATGGAAAATTGTAACCTCAAAATGCCACAAATTAAACCTCTTTTTCTTTTAAAAAAAAAAAATTTTCTTTTTTTGTTTCCCCCCTCTTTTACGGATTTAGAAGGAAGTGAATTTAACAACTTTTGATTAATAGAAGATACTTAATTTCTCTTATTATATTTGAAATCCAAAACCACTATGACCCCAGCTCTTGTCTATACAACATTTTTTCTTTAGAATTAGATCATTAGATGATTAGCTTCATCAATTAAGAAAAATGAATAGTTCGCCATATGCAAATTTTCTATTATAATATGTGTGTGTGTGTATATATATATCTTACAGATAGAGGAACACCTTACCTCTGCTACAGACATTGATCACAGTGGTATGTGGAGGTGGGTGAGCTAGTATGTGAGTCAAACAATTTTATTTATTTATTTTATTATTATTATTATTATTATTATTATTATCATCATCATCATCATCATCATCTTACCCTGGTTAAGATTTTTTTGCCATTGGCAAGTATACCTTGTCGTCCAATTTTTTTTGCAAACTCTAGTTTTTATGATACAATTGAAACAATTGATTGGATATAACTGGATTAGCAAAAAAATAAAATAGGGCATGGATTGAGAGTTGTGTAAAATTAATTTAGTTTCAGATTTAATCGAGATTGGTTTAAAGTTGAAAGGTCTGAGAGAAGATGAGAGGAGAGAGAAAAATAGAGATTACACTTGGTTATTATGGTAAAGCTAAGAAAGGAGAGAGAAAATTAGGGAAAAAGATAAAACTTGCAAGTTGTCATTTGACTTTTTTTGACGTGCGTAACCCACGTTTGCATCGGTTTACCTATTATGCAATATAAGGTTGGAGGGTATTAATGTTTTTTCAGTGGTCAAGAAAATAATGAAAAGGGTACTATTGGAAGTTTTGATTAAAAAAAATGGTCACATCATTGTTGACTGAGTTGACCATTAACGATCCTTAACAGAAGGGAACCCAGTGTTACAAAGATACAAACTTTAAGGGAGGTCGGTATAATTTGACAAATAAGAGAAGGTTTGTGTATATTGACAAAACCTTAAGGGAGGTCAGTGTAATTTACCCTATATTTTAACATAAGTATAAGGGGAGAAAATGTCTTCACATACATTTTAGGGATAGTATAGTTATTTTGAGGGTGAAAGAGTCATGACATCAGTTTTGAGTGCCTTTGACTGTGTCGAATGTTGACTGTAGGGGTGTATACGGGATGCGAGCGTAATTATCTAAACTAGAGGGATGCAAACGTAAATTAATATATATATATATATATATATATATATATATATATATATATATATATATTGGAGGTAACTGTAAATTATCCAAATTATAAATACACGTTTAAATTGTTTTCTTTTGTAACTAAAACTTATAAGCTAATCGCCAAGAGGTGTAGCATGAGATTGTTAAAACAGATTAGCTCTGTTCTTCAAAAATATATATTTTTATTTTTTAGTATTTGGTTGTTATAAAATTTAAACTCTAAAAAAAACAACTTATCTTTTAATTTTTGATTAGTTATTTGACACGGCCTACCCAATGAATTTGACCTCAATCTCGACTTAGACTTTTGTCAAATACTAAAAAATAAAAATAAAAAATATATATATTTTAACTGAAAATATATATATATATATATATATATATATATATATATATATTACGTCCGAACAAACAAATATTCACACTCAAATTTTCGCCACTTACACATATTTAGTTTAATATTTATAAGAAAAAATTGACATTATTATCCTTGAAAATTCCATACCAATATTAAAATATGTTTGAACTCCATTTTTGCAAACTTTTTTACACCGTATTTTTATTTTTCATATTAACTATTAAAAAATCGTTCAAATGAAAAAAAATTAAAGTAATATTATCGGAAACGTATCTCCCTGGACCTTACCATTTTCAATTTTGCCAAACATTATAGAATTGTAATCGGACTGGAAAAACAAATGGAAGGTTTTGGGCTTGTCATTTTAAAGTGGGCGATCCAAGACCCGCACCCAGATTAGAGCAACAAAACAAATCCGTGTTTTGGACTGGATTGTTCCAGAAAGCTCTGGGTCTGGAGGTTTCCTGAGTACCGCTACCATATATATATATATACATATACACTAGAAGATCATTTTTATCGTTGTTTGCACTTGCTGGACGAGTATTAGGGTTTTTTGTGGTTTAATATTGCATTTCAGTAATGGCCAAAGACGACGGACCTAATTGGGAAGGATTGCTCAAGTGGAGCCTTGCTCATTCTGATGGAACTCGTTCCAATCGAAATTTGAGGTACCTTCTCCCTCCTCTCTCTATATATATATTGATCATATGTTGATAGATTAATGATATATATGGTTTTCATGGTACATACGACCCTCTTGGTTGCTGCTGAATATATGTGATGCTATTATTACGAATTTTCTTAGGCTCGGTTTTTATGATTGTAAGAGTTTTTGAGGCATATGTGATTATTTTCTAACATACTGTTAAATTATTATTACGAATTTTCTTAGGTTCCCTTTTTTATGATTACAAAATTTTTCACTTATAAAAAAAAAAATGATTACAGAATTTTTGAGGCATATGTGGTTATGTTCTAACATACTGACAAATTATTTAAGGCAATGAAAACATTGTTACTTGGAAACTTTGAGCTTGAAGTGTTGCACTTATAGATAAATTTACTGTGCTAATTGAATCTAAAAGTCAACATGTTTATGATTACAGAATATTTGTGGAGAATATGTTCTTAACTTACAGTAGAGCAAAACATTAAAGGTTATGAGAACATTATTAGTTCGGAAATCGAGTTTGGAAGTGTTGTACTCATTCACAACTCCATAATTTTAAATATTGGCAAAACCACTTTGTAACACTGTTGGCAGTTGCTGAATTCGCAGTTACTGTTGAATTTTTCTAGTATAATGGTATTTACAATGCCAAAACTGCTGTAGCATTGCAGGGCAATTAGGTCCCCTAGATGAAGATGAATTTTTAAGCCCATTTCAGCTTTTTCGTTTATTTATTTATTTTTATTTATTTTACTTTTTAAAGTTGTGTATCAATTTTTAACTTTCAAGATTGGTTGTTATGGAGAACCATATAACTATTTCCAAAAACACATGATGCTTTCCTTGTGGTATTTTCTCTCGAAAAACTAGTGCTTTAGTTTACATATTTAAATCTGGATTGTCTTTTATGGCGATTGTCAGTGAGGAGGACCGAAGATGGTTCATGGAAGCTATGCAGGCCCAGAGTGTTGATGTTATCAAAAGAATGAAGGAGATAACTCTTGTTATGCAGACCCCGGAGCAGGTCTTGGAGTCTCAAGGTGTGACTCCTACAGATATTGAAGGTAATATCAAAGTAGCTTTGACTCTTTTTTCTTTTTCTTTTTTTAATAGGCTTAATGAACTACTAGCTTTATTTCTAGTTCATTGACCTTCTAGCTTTATTTCTGGTTCATTGACCTTTTATTCTTGCAGATATGCTAGATGAGCTACAGGAGCATGTTGAGTCCATTGACATGGCTAATGGTGAGCTTCTCATGCTATTTTTTTTTTTTGTTTTTTCGCCGTACTTTTGTAATGAAAATTCTTGAGACCTTGTGGATGTCTGACACGGCCTTGTATTTCTCTTTTGCCCTTTATCATTCCTATTGTGCTTCATAATACTTTTATCATTAAGTCTTATCAATTTAAATTATGCGAATACGATCAAATGTGTGTGTGTGTGTGTCTATATATATATATATGGAATAGAGCTTGTAACTCTTCATTAGTTGTGAAAACTGTTAGTGATGCTTTTTGCGGCTATTTGCAGTTTACTTTTTTTTTTTTAAAAGTTTCTCGATTCTCTAGTTGTTACTCAAATTGCAACTCAACCAATTATATATGTTTTCTTTGGTCTTAAACACTAAAATAATCTTTCTTGCTTGAGAATGTGAATCTGAGCCAATCCCTTATTCCTTAGAAAAACAAAATTGATTATTCTTTGGTTCTGTTGCTATATATATTTATAAAAATTTGCCCCCTTTATGCATGCAGCAACTTAATTACACAACAGCCTTGATCTCTTTGAAATATCCCCAGGGGTTGGGAGGGGTTTGTCCCTCCTAACCACGGTCCTCTGCCAGTGTGCATGACAATGTTTATATTTTTCCTAGTGGAAGAACTTTTGACCATTGCTTATTGATTCAAATGTTCCAATGGGAGTGAGAATTTCTGGGAAACATTTGGAACAATTCTTCCCTAGCAGAAGATTGTCTTCAAGTCTTGGTTCCCTTATATAACAGCTATTAGGAGATTTTTAATAGTTGCTTAGTGGGATTGGGGGTTATTTTAGATTATATAGAGTTTAATGGCAATTACATGCACAATTTTTATCACCTCCTGGTATGGGTAGAAGGTGGTGACTTTTAAAAAATATCTCAACATAAAAAACTGCTACTGTCATTTTTATTTTCTTTGTTATCTTTAGCACACTCTTATCATTGTGAACTAGTTGCTATATGTCCTTCCTTTTGATCAATCCAATTGCAATCATTTATCATTTTTGTCATCAACTTTATCGGCATGCAATTTAAGTTCCAATTGTTAACATATTTCAGGGATGTGTGTGTGGGTGTGCGGTGTGCATGTGTTTAATTAATAGTGAGTTGAAGTTTGGAGGTATTTTCTTGTGTTGTCCATTATTGTTTTTACAAAATTCCTTAGAGTCACTCTCACCGAAAAAAAAAAAACCTTATTTGGTTCTAAGATTGCCATTGTCATTTCCGTTCATGAAGGGTGCTGGGATGGTAGACTGAATATAAACATAATCTTTGCCATAATTTGCACAAAGTGGTTGATCTTAGGATTCAAATATGCTTTCTCACTCCTAACAACCTGAGCTTTTACTATTGCTACCAGGTAATGACCCCTTAAACAAAAACAAAAACAAAAACAAAAACAAAAACATATTTATAAAAAGATCTTCTTATTTATTTTTATTTTTTATTTTTTTATTGGTTTTGGGTTGAGGGCCTTCTAGATATGAGAAGACTTGACTCTTGTTTTATTGTTCTTCAAAGCCAAAACTAGGAGGTTTGCCATGTTGCAAAAGAAGCTATTTGTTTTAAAAGCAAGCTGGATACATCTTTGTTCATTGTTGTCTTCATTTTGGGCCAAAATTATCCTACTGTTTTTAGAATTTAATAGCTAAAGCCGCCTCAAATATGCTAATTTTTTGTTTTTTTCGCCGTACTTTTGTAATGAAAATTATTGAGACCTTGTGGATGTCTGACACGTCCTTGTATGTCTCTTTTGCCCTTTATCACTATACCTTCCTATTGTGCTTCATAATACTTTTATCATTAAGTCTTATCAATTTAAATGATACGAATACGATCGAATGTGTGTGTGTATATTTATTTATTTGGAATAGAGCTTGTAACTCTCCATTAATTGTGCATGCTGTTAGTGATGCTTTTTGAGGCTATTTGCAGTTTATTTTTTTTTAAAAGTTTCTCACTTCTCTAGTTGTTACTCGAATTGCAACCCAACCAATTCTATATGATTTCTTTGGTCTTAAACACGAAAATAACTGCAATGGCTTGAAGTTTCAAATTAATCTTTCTTGCTTGAGAATGTGAATCCGTGCCAATCCCTTATTCCTTAGAAAAACAAAATTGATTGTTCTTTAATTCTATTGCTGTGTATATATATATATATATCATTTTAATTTGCCCCCTTTATGCATGCAGCAACTTAATTACACAATAGCCTTGATCTTTTTGAAATATCCCCAGGGGTTGGGAGGGGTTTGTCCCTCCTAACCTCCACCCCCTGCCAGTGTGCATGACAATGTATATAGTTTTCCTCGTGGAGGAACTTTTGAGCATTGCTTATTGATACAAATGTTCCAATGGGAGTGAGAATTCTGGGAAACATCTGGAACAATTCTTCCCTAGCAGAAGATTGTCTTCAAGTCTTGGTTCCATTATATAACAGCTATTAGGAGATTTTTAATAGTTGCGTAGTGAGACTGGGGGTTATTTTAGAGTATATAGAGTTTTAATGGCAATTACATGTACAATTTTTATCACCTCCTGGTATGGGTAGAAGGTGGTGACTTTTAAAAAATATCTCAATATCAAAAGCTGCTACTGTCATTTTTATTATCTTTGTTATCTTTAGCACACTCTTATCATTGTCAAATAGTTGTTATGAGTCCTTCCTTTTGATCAATCCAATTGCAGTCATTTTTCATTTTTGTCATCAACTTTATTGGCATGCAATTTAAGTTCCAATTGTTAATGTATTTCAGGGATGTGTGTGTGGGTGCGTGGTGTGCATGTGTTTAATTAATAATGAGTTGAAGTTTGGAGGTATTTTCTTGTGCTGTCCTTAATTGTTTTTACAAAATTCCTTAAGAGTCACTCCACCGAAAAGAAAATAGGAAACAAAAAACCTTATTTGGTCCTAAGATTGCCAGTGTCATTTCCATTCATGAAGGGTGCTGGGAGGGTAGACTGAATATAAACATAATCTTTTCCATAATTTGCACAAAGTGGTTGATCTTAGGATTCAAATTTGTTTTCTCACTCCTAACAACCTGAGCTTTTGCTATTGCTACCAGGCAATGACCCCTTAAACAAAAACAAAAACATATTTATAAACATATCTTTTCTCCTTTTTTTGGTTTTGGGTTGAGGGCCTTCTAGATATGAGAAGACTTGACTCTTGTTTTATTGTTCTTCAGAGCCAAAAGTTTTAAAAGCAAGCTGGATGCATCTTTATTCATTGTTGTCTTCATTTTGGGCCACAATCATCCTACTGTTTTTAGAATGTATTAGCTAAAGCCGCCTCAAATATGCGTTCAGCCCCACCCCCCCAACACACACAACAACAACAACCAAAAAAAAAAAAAAAGGTGAGTATAATAGTTGAGGAACACTCTTGAATCTGTCCACCAACAAGAGAGAGAAATTAACGGTCTTGGCCGTTGGGAGCCACCCCTTGGGTCGTTGAGGGGTTGGAGTACACATTCAAATTCAAGAGCAATGACATAGGTCAAATTAATTCAGCTAGGTCTCTTTTCTGTCCAGCTGTAGCAGCATATCACTAACTAACATTTTAGTTAACTAAATTTGCAGTAAGCCACTATATTCTATTATTGTTTGATATGATTGTATTCCATGATTGATTCTTATCTATGTATGCTTCGGATGAATTATCGCATCTGCATAGCTGTTTATTGTCATAAGTTTGTGCATGACATATTGGGCTGTTTATGCATGCCTGACAGATCTCTACTCAATTGGTGGTTTGGTTCCACTTCTTGGATATCTGAAGAATTCCCATGCTAATATTCGAGCTAAGGCTGCAGATGTTGTAACTACAATTGTTCAAAACAATCCCAGAAGTCAACAACTGGTCATGGAAGCAAATGGCTTTGAGCCCTTGCTCTCTAATTTTACATCTGATCCTGATGTTACTGTTCGTACCAAAGCACTCGGTGCAATATCCTGTGAGTACTCCTTTGTCTCCAAAGACGGATTTTATTATTAACATCTACTTTGGAAAACTTTTCTACTATGTCTTCTGCGTTATTTTGCCTATAATTGTCGTCTGGTGTGATTTTGATGTATTTTCTTGTTATGTGGTAACTTTCAGCTTTAATCAGGCACAACAAGCCAGGAATTGCTGCCTTTCGTCTGGCCAATGGATATGCTGCTTTGAGAGATGCTTTGAGTTCCGAAAGCGTGAGATTCCAAAGGTATCTCTATCTCCTGTCACAATTATTTTATTTGTGGTATTACCTTTTCTATTCGTATCTAATTACATAATTCAATTCTATTTCTGTCATGTCAAATATACAGAAAGAGAGCCATGTTAACACAAACCTTATTTGTTTTCCTTCTTTTTCTTTTCATTGTGAAAATGGTTGTTTTTAAATTTCTATGGTTTTGCATCCTCATATTTTCTTATGGAAATCTGATTATTTTGCAGGAAAGCCCTTAACTTGATTCATTATCTACTGGGAGAGAATCATTCAGATCGCAGTGTGGTAAGCGAGCTAGGATTTCCTCGCATCATGACACATCTGGCTTCCAGTGAAGATGCAGAGGTACGAGAAGCTGCATTTCGAGGCCTTCTTGAGCTTGCTCAAGACAGGACAGATGGGACCAACTGTAGTTCGGGTGAAGAAGATGAGAAACTCAAACAAATTCTTCAAGATCGGATCAAAGGTATCAGTTTGATGTCACGTGAGGATCTTGGGGCTGCAAGGGAGGAGAGGCAGTTGGTGGATTCTCTTTGGAATGCATGCTATAATGAGCCATCATCTCTTCGAGAGATGGGCCTTCTCTTTCTTCCAGGGGAAGATGCACCTCCACCTGATGTTGCCAGCAAACATTTCGAGCCTCCTCTTAGAGCTTGGGCGGCGAATCAACCAGCTGATAAAACTGAAAAGAAAGAGAAGACCCCTTTGCTATTGGGTCTTGGTCCTCCATCTGAAAATGCACCTGTTCAAGGTGGTGGCTCAAGTGTGGATGCGGATGGGGATGTAGGTGAACAAAGGAACTCCACTACATAAAGCTGTAAATGTATGCTGAAGGATTGATTATTTTGCTTGAGTTAGAATTTGTTGTTGATGTTTTGTACTATAAATATGAAGCCTTATTTTGCCATATTTTCCTTGATCCGAGTGCGTGATTATAATAGGTATTGAAAAAAAAATCAGCACAATTTTGGGAGACTCCACCAGTAATATTAAGATAGCTGTAAGATTTTATCTTGGAGGGGAGGGGCTACAGGAGGAAAGACTCTGCTTAGTGCTGCCTGCTATGGAGTGAATACTGTGAAAGTGAAGGTCTGTTATTTGAAATAGGGACCTGGGTTGGTAGTTTGGTGGTGCTTTCGTTAGTTTGTTGAACCTTTTTACTGAGTTGTTAAGAGTATGTCATTGCTGGACATGAAACTAGAAAGGCAAACTGCCAATCAAACGAGACTATAATAATATTCATAAATAGAGTGTGTGTGTGTAGTTTTATGTTTTTATTTATTTATTTAATTGTAAATAGAAAATAACTAAATTGACCGAGTTTTCATAGAACTGTTGGCCAATTGAAACCAAGGCTATTTCTATACAGAGGCACGGTCTCAATTAGCACTACCGTTGGTCGCCAAGTTGCATGGGGTTGTGAAGGCTCCAAACCGGGCTCCCGCGAGCAACTGGTAACAACGCGCTTAGGCTACGGCTTAAATTCCCACCTGCTTAACCTCATCATGCAGTTGAGGTAAACCACCAAGGGACTGCATATCTTCAGTGGTGTAGACTGTGTAGTATGCAGTGTTGTGAGAGACTCAGATAGCATCATCATAGACAAAAAATAAAATAAAATAAAATAAAAAATTCCATTTGCAGAGTAATAGATGAATAATTTGCACTTCTTTATATTATCATAACGCATCGAAATCCATGACCAAAACTCACAGACGGAAATGACTAGTTGATCAGCAAACTGAGAGTATAATTAAAGGAATCCAAAAACACAGAGACGGAAATGACTAGTTGATCAGCAAACTCGATTATAATTAAAGGAATCCATCCAAATTTCGTTGGAATTGCATGTTCTCAAATTCACTTCAAAGTAGCTGACAGTCATCCGCAGAAAAATGGCAATACATGTACTCATCTCACAATAACAACTAAGATCTCACCTCAACTGTTACAGCGCTAACTTTTTATTTTGCGACAGTATGCAGTCTCGATGCTCCCATAACTTGCCCCGAATTTTCAGAAATGTGAAGCATGAAACTTGCCTTAACCTTTAGAAGCTTTATGCCAGCAGTTACAGATGATTGAAAAGGAACTCTCTCTCCATACAAAGGGATGCTCATATTTTTATCAAGTTCTGGTCTTAGAAACAAATGCCCACGTTCCATTTTATTGCAGCTCGTATGACGAAAAACTGAAACCTGATCTTCCCTCATTAGTTGATTTCAGCTCAAGCTTCTGAAATGGGCTGCAATGTTGAATCAAATACATCTTTGTTAATCATTTAGTGGTGTTTCAGCCTCCAAGGTGATAATAATGTATAGACAAACTATAATGTGTAAGCATGAGGGGCAAATGATGTGTGTATGATCATGTACACAATTACACAAGAAAATAAAGGGAATTTTCTATTATAAGCACTTTATGTTCTGAAGAAATGGAGTAACATTGTAGAGCTCATTTAGGAAAAAAGGAAGAAGAAGAAAAAGCAGTACCTGCTATTAGGATCATAATAAAATCCATTTATGGATCCGTCACTACAAGAGAAACAAACATAATAAAAACCAGCTATGGTTAACCCACAGTCAGTCCCAACGTTCACAAAGTATTGCTCTTTCCATCTCTGCAAAGAAAAGGAAATGTCAGACTATTATTCAACATATATTCCTTAATTAATAAATGGAAGTGACCAAAAACAGATTACCATAAATATGTGTTGATAATTGCTCAGGTCTAATGATCTGCCACCATCAACCTCCACGTGGCTCTGAAAAGAATGGAGTAAATCAAGGTAGAAGATATTGTGCATATGAAGTAAAACTATTAACAACTAACCTGAATGGGTGAAAAGGATGGAAATTTGGTCCAGTGTCTTATGTCATCTTCTGGCCTGTCGACAATTTTAAAAACCTGTTAACTTTCCCCCCTCAATCGATATAGCAAAAGCACATGTGATACAACACACAGATTCCTATAGGAATGTTGGCAGATGGCCAATGATTTTCATGCTCAAGAAAAGAAAAGAAAAGAAAAAACATACGTTGCTTCCCATTTGCCAGTGAAGAAAGTATAATTCTTGGTATCAACAATCTCCCCTTCCCAGAAAGTGACAACCTGGGATAAGACATGAAGAACGAAGAAAAATCTCAACTACAATGACAAGGAAAATTTAACTGCATTGCAGTATTTCTGAAAAGCGGGAATAAAGCACAGCATGTAAGTCCAGCAAAGCTTAGCCTTGAGAAAAACAACTAGATCGAAAGACAATTCAGTTAAATTTATGCTTATAGACACCACATGAATTTCTAAATGATGGAAGTAACGATTACTTTGTTGAATGAAGTCAACCAACCAAAAGTCTTTAGCGAAGTTAGATAACTAAGCAATATCTCATGAATGCATCATCAAGAATTTATCCACGGAAATAAGGCAGCTGTGTATTAACTAAGGACTTTCGAAAACCAGCCAGTTTACTTTTTAACTAATATTATAGCATTAGAGTTAAAAAATTGCCATATTATTATTTTTTCTTTTAATTTTATTATTATTATTTTTTGGTTGGCATACAACTTTGAGCAACTTGGATAGATTATAGGTTAGCAGTGAAATATAGAATTGCAAGCTAAACATAAGGATTAATGTGGGAGAAGACATGCGCAATATTGGCAACAATGTGTACACCAATCCTTTGTAAGGTGTATCTTGGCAAAAAAAGATGCATTGGGAGAAAACAAAAAGAAAAGAAATAAAAAAGCTTTGGACATGCATGAATACCCATAAATATATTGGATATGCCTCATGTAACATTGCTAAATTATAAGTACCTAATCCCTTCATTCCCAATGACATTGTCACTCAGTTCTGTAGTTGATGATCGCATTTGTGATGTCCTAAATTTTTAAAGCTATTTAATTAGAATTATGGATTAAGCTTTACTTAAATCAAATTTACATGTTAATCAGCGATGGCAAAGTGAATTTAGGAATTTGATTAATCTATCAAGATCGGCTAAATGAGAAAATTGTATGATTATTGTTGTGTGTTAGTGCAGTCCCATTAACGAAATTGGACTAGTACAACTCTTTATGGTTTGAGTGAAATTTGGAATTACAAATTGACTGGAGCAGAAAATACAAATGGGTTTTATAATGACCATACTGGATTACTGGATAATGACCATAGTGAATTACAAATGGGTTTTATATGAATTTTTGGGTGCCTGCTACGCAGATTGTACATCAGTGGACTGTTTTCCCTCTTTCCTTTTTAAATCCTTACTAATCACACCCTTGGGTAAGGGGTGTGACATCATTCCCACTTGACCATTATTTCGTTTCGTTCTTCTCTTTTCTTTTTTCCTTTTTCTTTTTCTCCTCAATGGGGAGGGGGTGGTACTTAGAATACCAAAGATAAAGAAACTAATAATCGAGACCATCATAGCTATCTACCAGCATACATTAAATTTAAATTTTGCATGCATCTTATGAAAACATAAACCAAGATGCTTGAAATAGATCGATATTCAAGAAAATATGGAGTCATGTCAAACTACTCTCTTAATTCATATCTAATAAGAAGTTCCCAGCGAACCTGAGAGCTTTATGTTTTTCTCTTTTAGTTTAATCTGATGACTTCAAGAAATATGCTTTTAGTGGTGGAGCTTGTGTGTGTGTGTGTGTGGGGTGTACGTAGAGGCTATTACCCAGTAATCCAGTATGGTCATTATCAATGAAGAATGCTAGGAGGGGTACAGCGGATACAGTCCTAATCTCTAACATTATTTGCACAAACTGGCTGTCCTCAGACTAAAACCCATTTCCTCACATTTGGCAGCCAGAACCTATATATATACCCATCATGAAAATATCATGTAGGAGGGGTGCAATACTAAAGTTAGGGATACCATGCATGAGAACACAAACTGGAGTCAGAGAGCAGCTACTTTATGTAACATAGTGCTACAGGTTCAAATTCTTCTCGATTCATCCCTCTATCAACTCCCATAAGTGGGAGAGAAAGACTAACTAGCTAATAGCCTTTAGAAGGCAAATAAAGAAAGGAAAAAACAAACGAACTCTAAAGGTTGTCTCAGTAGAATTAGGAGCCTTACTGGTGTGTCTGCCATAGGAACATTTAAAGCTTCCATGGTACCGCATAGATATCCATGATCAAGATCACAACCTTGAATTCGTACATTAACTCTCCAGGCTTCATCTTTTTGTAGACTAGAAACATTCTGAGTTCCAGAGAACGCCTGTAACAGAGTATACAGTGAGAATAAGGTAATACCTTCAACTTAATAACAAGGGTATAGTGTGTTTAGAGAACCTCACTGAAAATAAAGCAAGGTGCTAACAAATTTATATTCAGATGAATTGCAGCTTAATAGTTTGTTGTTTTACTGAATATGTTAAACTATCAGTTGGAAGTTATGGCTCCCTGTCACCCACTCCCACCCCAAAGGAAAAGCGGAAAAATATATTGACAATAATATAACTTCAAATTTCATTTTCATTTGAGAAAGAAATTTACTACTTTCTTGCTCGCTACACCACCATACTTCTAGAAATTAATGCAAGTAGTTCGTTAATTAGCTGGACCGCGTCATTTGGATTCGGCGTTTTGATGTGATCGTCTTTAATGCCCCCAAGAAACCCTTATTTAGGCACCATCTGGATTAGCATTCCAAAAGATCTTATTACTTTTAAGAGCAAAATTGTTTTATCCCAAAGGTAAGTTAAATACTTCTAGAATGTTAGGCAAACAGGATCTTAATGTGTTGGCCATTATCTTTCCAACCTCAGAACTACCCATGCAATCTTAACTGTGGTCAGTAACTACTAGACAACTGACAAGAAGCAGCCATCTGTCTCGTGACAGTACGTCAACAGATAGAATGTTTACTGAGTAAACTGGGACCAAAAAGACAACCTCTTTTATGTAGTATATTGGAACATATAGATTCAAGTATTCAACTGATAATAAAACAATATTATATGTGCGTTAAGAGGATAAAAAAAACATTATAATGTATACTATCAGAATTCTAAACCGAAGAAGGTGGGATATGAATGAAAACTAACCTGCCCAACGCTCAACAGTGTACAAGCTGGGGGTGAAGTGTTTCCAGGATTTGCACCTTCATGGTTAGAAAATCATTAATTGAAATTACATAAAGTGATATTCAGAAGAAGTTTTCTTATCAAGACTAAGCTAAAATATAAAGATAAAAAATTGCTGAATCCACTCCAAATTTCAAGGAAATTGATATGGCATGAAACATTTCATAATTAAGAACATAAGGTGCCATAACCAGCAAATTCAACCTTCATGCATGTGGTGTTGAAGTAAAATTACTCTCTGTGGGTGGACGCATCAAGTTTCAAATCTAATTGAATTTAACACCTAGAACACCATGAAGAAGACTTTGATAGGCATGGAAAGAACATAGTTGGGGCGGATACATAATCTGCAAGATGTAGCAAAAAATTGAAATGGTCTTGTCCAATTCATAGGGGCCAAAGTGAATTGTTCAAGGAAAAGAAATCTGCAGCATAAGAATATAGATGCTCCAAAAAGGCAGTGGACTAAAGTACTAATTTTATTAACTAAAATGCAATGAAGACACTATACACCACAGTTAAATGAACAAAAATTGACCTTACTCAACATCATTATCAATTCTAAAAGCTACAAACCTAAACACTGCTTAGTCACTACGTTTATTGAAGCAAGAGGGTAGGGCAAAATAAATTTCAAGCTAATGCATTTATCGCTGGTGCATAAGAATCACTTAAAATTCAAATTTAGGACTTTAAATTTTTTTTTTGAATCAAATCACCATCTTTTGAAACAAAGAAAACGGAAAATTCAGGTTTTTATTTATTTATTTTCTTTTCTTTACCTCTAAATTCTTAGCAATCAAACGGAACTTCGAAGGTAAAAGAATTACGTGATCGAAATTCTGAGTTTTGACAATCAGACTAACCCTAACCCCAGCACTAATATAACTGCTATATATATATACACACACACACGCACGCATAAAAAATAAGCTGATATATACTACCGATTTCAGGGATCAGAAATTTTGGGAACAAATAATTGGAAAATGAAAGAGAATACTGAATACAAAAACAGATCGATACCTGAAACTTGAGAAGGTGCAGAACTCTCCACCACTCTCACTGGCATTATTCTACAAGGGGAAATAATCCAATTTCTGTTAGAAGGTGCACAAATTATAGGTTTAGCCAAAATAGTATTAAGGGTAGGCTCCAACTCGAGCGGTTGCATTGGTTGGAGCTACACTTCAATAACCTGCTTAAAATTTAATGTGATATTTAGTTATGGTAGAATAATATTTATTTATTTATTATTTTTATTTTTATTTATTTTTTTATTTTTTTTTTAAGTTAGCGACGGATTGATGGAATGGGATGGGAACCTAGGCCTTTGGCCACAAGCAATATATCTCTATCATTCGGCTATTACACCATATCCAAACGGATATAGGCCTATTCATAGTTAAATAATTCTAAGCACACAAAAAAAATTGAAAACTTGTAAAAAAATTTAAAAATGTCATCGTAATTTAAATATTATATTTAATATATTTAAAATAAAAAATTTATATAAAAATAATATTAAAATTTGGATTCGGATTGGGTTTGAGTTGCTGGCACCTCAATCCAACTTTAACCCTAATTAAGCTTGTGATAACTTTTTACAATCTAGACCCAACTCTAATAATAAAAATAGTTGTCCAAATTTGTGACAAATCGGGTTGCATTCGAGTTGAGATCTAATTGACCCATCCAAATTGCACCGAAAGATTGGACATATCTATCTTGTCTCACTTTATATATGTGTTTGTTTTGTTATTTATTTTAGACTTGTCACTATTAAAATATTTTCTAAAAAAATTAAAAGTAATTGTATAAATTTCTTATTTATATTATTTTAAAATATATAAAACATTATGATTAATTTTTTTTTAAAAAAAAATTGTATGTGATTATAAAATACAAAATAAAAAATATATCTTATGACCTTGTTTCATGGTGGTAACCCAGGCCTTGACAAAATGGACCGGTGTAAAAAGGGTCATTTGTTTTACGTCGGATTCGGATGAGAAAGTGATTGGGTATAAATAACTTGAATTTTTTGATAAATAAATAAACGTCCACTCGTTACAACCGGTAAATCTTAGTATTTCAGTGTTATTTAACTTGTTAAGGGGGATTGATCTTCTTGCCTTAACCAATCCATCAACTCGGTTGAGCTTTAGTCACTGGCACACTGCATGTCCTCCTCATCAACTGTTTAACTTGTTATGGGGGATTGATCTTCTTGCCTTACCCAATCCATAAACTCGGTTGAGCTTTAATCACTGGCACACTGCATGTCTCCCTTATCAACTCGGTTGAGCTTTAGTCTTGTTGCGACGGAATTAATGGACATTGAAGGGGCAAATTCATTTAAGCCCAATGGCAAGCCCAAACCTTCCGACCTGGTCCAAGGAGGAGATTGGGCCCAGAAGCGAACCAACCAGGATCATGTCAGAGGTCCAGAAAATTAAGCCCAAAACGTGGAGGGGAAGAAGTATTTTCTTAACGGGCCGTAATGGTTAATGAATCATTTCAATTTACAAAAAAATTCAGTTAGATTTTTACACGAACTTTAATAAAAATATCTCTGAACTAGTGAAAATAAACAGAGCTGAGGGAGGTAGGAACAATTCAGATAAATTTTTTTAGGAATATGTGTTGCGTGTGTATGTATGAAGTGGTTGATAACACCTGCAACACAACAGCTGTAGCAGAAGCTGATTAGAACATCAATATATAAATCATTTTGGATATTATTTCCTTTGGAAGGCAGTACTAATTATTACCATCTCTAAGCACAAGAACATGATCGTACTCTTTACTTGATCCAACCACACTACAACAAAAAAGGCATTTAGAGATGAGGTTCATGCCCTAACCGAAGCTGAAGGTCCAATTCTGTCTGTGATGAACCACCAGTGGCAGTACTTGGCTTCATGGCCATCTATGCATATATGCTAACACCCCTGCTCTGTTAGGAATTATGTCTCAAATTCCCATTATTATTAATTTTTATTTTAAAATTTAATTTTATGGTAATTTTTTATAAAGAGGTGAATTGGGCTATAAGAAATTGTAATCCTTGTCCACAAAGAAATTTGGTATGTGACTTTATAAATAGACACTTAGGCTATTATTGACAATTATGAATCAAGAGAAATATAGCCTCATGAGAAAGTACGTTGACACTGATGGCGAGAGGGAGGCTTGTGGAGTACACGAAAAACTCGATCTAGAATTTATGTGCATGGTCCGGTGTTGAAATTCTCTACTATTGTAATATCTCTACATATATAGTGAATCTCTTCTTATCCATAGATGTAACCCTGATTTTGGGTGAACCACGTATATATTTTGTGTTGTGATTTGAATTGTTACTATTCTTTCTTTCTTTGGTATCAGAGCCAAATGTGAAGGAGATCTAAAAAACACAAGAAGTCTCAACATGTGCTACAACGGGTTTCAGTTGTAGGTGGAGTCAATCGGCTTGGTTACCTGGCATGGAGCTTGAGTGGTCAAGGTGGAGCCTTGAAGTTTTAACTGATTGAGCAACGTATAGTGGGGATAATCTGAGTTCTGCAATAAGATCGAGAAAATTGAATTTGCAGAGAATTGTCCAGATTCAATTGCCATGAGAAGCAATGATTGATGTAATGGAATTTGAGCCAAGGTGGAGATTGTTAAGAATTATGTCTCAAATTTCCACTATTATTAGTTTCTATTTTAGAGTGTATTTTTATAGTAATTTCTTATAGAGACGTGAATTGAGCTCTAAGAAATTGTAATCCTTGTCCACAAAAGAATTAGGTATGTGACTCTATAAATAGATACTTAGGCTATTGTTGAGAGTTATAAGTTGAGAAAGATGTAATCTCATGAAGGAATACGTTAATGGTAGGAGTGAGTTACGGGTTTGGTAGAGTGAACACTGATGGCGAGAGGAAATCTCGTAAAGTACATCGAAAACTCGGTCAAGAGTTTGTGTGTATTGTGCGGTGTTGAAATTCTCTACTATTGTAATATCTCTACATATGTAGTAAATCTCTTCTCATCCTGGATGTAACTCTGATTTTATTAGTGAATATTTTCACTAATAAAATTATATTTATGGTAGATATTATTTCAATAATTATTTTTATAATTATTATACCTAAATAGTTAATTAAGTATTAATTATGGATGTATTTAGTAACGTTTTCGTTTTCTGTTTTTACAATCTTAAGAAAACAGAAACATGATTTTGCTTTCTTGAGTGAAAATAGAAATCAGAAATGATGTTTATTAACACTTATTGTTGTCACAAATTTGAAAACATAAAACAATAACTGTGTTTAATAATACAACATATATGTTACAAAATGTACATAATATTTTTTAATTTTTAATTTTATTTTTTATTTATTTTATTTTTATTTTATTTTTTTCATGGTAAGAATTTTAAGAGTTAGTGATTATAAGGGAGGGTAGATGACTTGAACAGAACTCTCGAATATAGGGAGCAACCCAACCTCTCAAGCACGACACTTGCTTCTATTAATATCAAAAAGACATAAATTTAGAAAATCTAATTTAAAATTATAAATCTTTAAAATACCCAATATATCATACGTAAAAAATTAGATATATCAAGACAAAAACATTTTCACTAATTATGTATATAAATACATGTATATGCATGATGTACACATTTATTATGTGATATATAATATATTTAGCATATGATAATTTATTAAGAATAAAAAATATTAAATAATATATCTTATATGTAATAAAATATATCTTGTGTTATAATATTGTAAATTAATTATAATTTAATATTTACATATAATATAATATAGATACGATATATAATAATATAAAATATCTAATGCTTAATAATTTAATAACATTATATCCTATATCAAAAATTATTTTGTCACAAAAAATAATTTACATTATTATTTAATACATTAGATATTAAAATATATTTTTATCAAATAAAAAATAATATACAATATTTAATTTATTCTATATTAAAAATATATATTTTTATTAACATTTAATATGCAACTTAGTAGTATATAACACAAATAATATGAATTTTATTTGAAATGAATAGTGCCTATGCAGTAACATTAATGAAAACGTTTATACGCTACAGTGCCAAAAATATAAGAAACATCATTTTAATGTTTTCTCGTTTCTTCACAAAAATTGAAAATGTTTTCTATTATAGAAAAACAAAAATATTTTATTGAAAGCGATTTTTGTTTTTATTTTGCCTTTTTAGAGGTTGATAACAGAAAATAAGAAACGTTTCTCGTTACTAAACGCAGCCAATTTGTCTCATTATTATTGGGTTGTTGTAATTTTGTAAAGAGATGAACATTCTCGGTTTGTAACTCTGAATATGATTCAGAAGAATTAAAAATAAGAAAAATTGTTCAAAAATTCTACTTGTTTCAGTTTTTTAAAAATTGTTTTCAGAAAACCTAGTTATAAAAATGTGTATATGCCTATGAAGCACAGACATCGACACGAGACACAGGTACGATACGACACGGACACGGCGATATGGCAAATTTCAAAAAAATAGGACACAGACACGACAAGGATACGGTAATAAAATAATAATATATATTTTTATTATATATAAAATTTTAATTTCTCTTAATTTTTAATTTACATTAATAGACATGATCCATTAAAATTAAGTCCAATCCAAATTCTATAAAAATTCAAACAATAAATATGTAGTATATCTTTATATCCAATATTAGAATTTGTATCAATACTAGAATAGTTTTAACTTTGTAACCAAGTACAGAAGATAAGATTAACTTTGTAACCAAACACAGGAGATAAGATTCTCCTCTTCCCACGTTTGACTGACTCTCTCTCTCTCTTTCTCTTCAAGATGAAATTCCTCTTTTATTAACCAATAACCACTAATAGAGGAAGAAAAAGGCAATCAAGCCTTTGGTTGAGATCTGTTCGCACCGAGACGAGAGAGACCCTAGCAGAATCAGAATTCTTGGCTAGACGCCATCTCCTCCTTCTCTTAACTTTCTATCTTCCTTCTCCTCCGTCTATTGATTTATTTTTAGAGAATATGTAAACAAATTTTCACTTAAACAATTAAAAGAGATTTCTTCTTTCATTCTGTCTTTGATTGATCCATACCAACCAGAGCATGATCATTAGGTTCTTCATCATCTCTTTGTTGATTTCCCCTCTCCCTTCC